GGGAAAGGTGGATGTCAGAGACAGTGACGTCAGGAGAAGCTCTAAGACTCGGGACCTCCGGAAAATGAGGAAAATCACAGTGCTCAGAGAGAACGTATTCCTTTATTCCTTCCAGCTCTCAAGCCTTTGAGGAAAGGGGGCAGGAGCCTTTTCAAGTTAATAGCTGAAATTCTACAGAAGAAAAATTAACTCCTTCAGGGGGAAGAGAACAGTGGATTGGTTAAATTCATTCTTCTGGAGGGGTGAAACTGGACAGCTGCAAAGTGAACATATTTGTGTAAAATCAGAACCAGAGCTGGGAACAGACTCCTGAACGCAACCACACCGTCATGGCATTATATTATAGCTTCTTGGGCTTGAGGACTGCTGGCACAAGCAAAAGCACAGGTCTCACACCAGGCACCAAAAGACCTGGCTACGGTGAGTATTTCTGACATGCTGCCAACTCAAAGGCAATTCATATAGATAGATCAATGCAGCTGGGAAAGAGGTGAATATGTACTTGTGGATTTTAAACAAAGTTAAATTCGATCACTTCCAAGAACAGTTAAATCATAAATCCAAATAGAGTAGGTTTATCCTGCTTAAATGACTGGGAGATAGGTGCAAGGTAGAGATGCTACAGAACAGAACCTGGTTCAGACCATATTTAATTGGCAGCACTTAAGCACTAATAAACACTTAAGCTTCTGTGCATAACTGGAAGAGCAAATGTATGTCAAAAAAAAAAAGGGGGGGGGGGGGGAAGAAAAAACCCAACACAGACTGAGCTTTCTTATAAATAGCACAACAGACACAGTCCAGCTCAGCTCAGCTAAGGAGGTAGCTGCAGAGTTGGCAAAGCTAGACAGGATCTCCACAACAAAAAAATTCAGGAAATCCCCAGTGTCACCTCTCCCCACAATTGATTTAAAATGAGCTTATCCCTCGTACTTAGTACATGAGGAAGAAGAAACTTCCTGGCTACAAGGGGGAGAAAACACAGTTATTAATAGCATCACAATGAGTAAGTATCAGAAGTTATGTTGCAGCCCTGGAAGATCTTGGCTGGATCTTGAGACTATCTGTTGCCATGGCAGTAATTGCTATACATGGTAACAGTGAACAGTGGTGTGAGAACAATTTACTTTTTGATTTGGTGCCCAAAACAAGTTCCTTTTGTTTTCTCTTACCAAAAAACCCAAGCATTTATTAGGTTGTCCTCAATGCAAAACTGAACTTTTCACTTGCAATGCTGTTAAAGGCGGCAACAACAATGAAACAAAGAGCAAATCCAGAGAACTGCCAGGAGAGGTGTCAAAGGCGGTACCGTCCTTTGGCTGCACAGTCAAGAGACTGGAGCAAAGATCTGGACAACATTCAACTTTTTTATATCAGAATTGTCCTGTTTGGTCAGATGTCCACCTAAACAGTCCCCGTCTGCCTCCAGTGTCTAGTAGCAGCCAGTGGCAAAATAGTAAGGCACAAAGAGGAGGGCCCTGCTGGTCCTTTTTCCAACAGGCTGTATCTGTCCATGCCTTCAGTGATCTTGCTCTTTCTTACAGACTCCCCCACGTGAAGACATGGAGGTCAGACCCATTGATCTGCGGTTCCCAGTATCCTCTACAGCCCTTTTCTAATGGTGTGCCTGGCACAGATATTGGGCCTCCTGATGTCTAGCTCCCAGATTTCCCCGAGTTCCCCACCCCTTTTAAAAACTGCCATCACATTTGCCACCTTCAATTTTTCCAATACGAAGGGCACTTTAAGCATCAGGATGCACAAAGTAGCTCAGCAATTTCAGATTTTAGATCCTATAGCACTCTTCAGTATCGGTTCCTAACAACTTCTTACCAGCTCCTCTGTTTGCTCCAAAACTATTTCTGCTGCTATTCAGTGTGAGACAGCTTCTCAGACAGCTCTTTTACAGATGGTTAAAAAATTGATTAGATTTTCTGTGATAGCCTTATCTTCTCTGGTTTCCTCTCATACCCTGACCTCTTTTGCTGTGGTCTCTCCAAAAGGCTTCTGCTGCCTTTGAAAGTGATTCGTGTTTAGTAAATTCATTCTTCCAAAGTCATATTTTTGCCTGCCTTATTTTGGTTTTATAGGTAATCAGCTGGAACGAGTATCTTTTTTGTCTTCTTGTATGGATACAGCTTCATCTTTCTGACAGGCATCCTTCTTCCGCCAGCCTTCTTTCCCCTGTCAATTTACTTTTGTTCTCTGACCTTCTTAAAAGATAAAAAAAAAAAAAAAAAGTTTCTCTTTTCTTGGTGGAAGTATCTATTCATTCTGAGCTGCCAATGTCATGACCAAATGACTTCCATACTGCCTACAAGCCTTTCAGCTTCTCTTTAGCAGAGGGACAGAGTCTTACAAGACAAATATCAGGGCTTTTCTTTAAAGGTTAAAACAACAGAAGGCCCTTTTTAGAAGACTCAGAAGTAAAGGCCAGCTCTGTCACAGGGCAGACATAAGTGTCATGAATTTTATTAATGCTGCCAGTCATAAAGACCCCGTCATATCCACAGGCTGTGAGCTATCATGACTGTTCCTGGATGCAGATGTACTGCAGTGACTGGAAAAAGGAAAACCAAAACTTTTATGATTCACCTCTACGTGAATCTCATGAAACAGGATTCAGCTCGCTGGAGAAGGCACAGTGAAAATGAGGCGCAAGGAAGCTTGATCCCTTAACACAGGCATTCCCCAGGGGCAGCAGGAGGTCCCTCCTCGCTTACAACTGCACCAGGCAGGAAAGTCGCTTAAACCAGAGTTTTCAAAGGTAACTACACATTCTCAGTTTCCAGATGCCCAAACTGAGACGTTTACAGCTGGATACACATTATGTGACCCAAACACCTCCTGAGGCACCCAGATTAGAGGCACGGGGGGCCCAGGCTCCCCCCACAGATGGTGGAGGAAGGCAGGAACCACACTAAAGGACAGCCAAGGTCTCTGGGGAGCAGCACGCTGTGGCGGCGTCTCCCTTTCCAAGAGGGGCCGCAGGCCTGGACATTCACCCTTGGGCATTCAGCACTGCCGAGCCTACAGAGCCGCCTGCCGCCAAGGTCGAGGCCCACACAGCTCCTGCCAAGGTCCCTCAGGAGACAAGACACAGGGCCCAGTCGCTGACAGACTGCAAAACCAGTTTATTCAGTGACAGGTTTGAATTCAAAAAACAGTCATCAATTTTTGCCTGAAGCATATAAAAAACCAGGATTTGCGTCTCCCAGCTGTTCTTTACTCCTCTCGATGCATTCTGTCATAGCTGCTTTAGCAGGCGGGAAGTTGAGAGAGATGAAGCCTGACACTCTTCCTCATCTTGAGCCACACAGAAGAGCTCTACCAAGACAGGGTTGCGCCCCTGAAAAAGGCCCCACAGAATATCCCCCAGCAGCACCCAGTTTTCACAATTAGCAGCATTCGTGCTTCCCTTTGTCTACAGACCCAGGTACGGTCTGCCCTATGGAAAGCCCACGCAATATTAGCAGCTCCACTCAGGACGTTCTTTCACAAGGGCAGACAGGCCAGTCCAAGCTCTTGTACTGGAACATCTCACCATGATAAAACCTCTTTATGCTCACAGAAGTCATTTGCCTTTTCCAGGGAAAACAGCCACACCATGCCCCCACAGGGAGGGTTTAGAGCTTTAGCCCCATAGGCAAAGCAGCACAACTTCCTACTGCAGATAACAGCACTAGAGGGGAAGCTCAGTGCCGCACCGGCAATTTCGGGGGGAATCCAGTTAATTCATGTAAAATTTGTAAGTGCATCAAATCTTCTCAGCGGTCCACAGAAACTGCAGATTCCAACCCAGGTCCGACTGGGATGCAGAGGGCAAGAAAGCAGCATTGCAGGCAGCCTCATTAAAAGTTTTGCTGCACTGTGGTCATCTCCACACATTCACTCACTGAAGGAGCTATGACTGCCAACGTAGAGGTTCCGAGCAGAGGTTTGAACAAGGTAACTAGCTAAATACACGGCCTTCCCTGCTCCCTCCAAAGGACAGACAGCATGCCATTTCTGGGGGTCTGAATTCTGCTTTGAGCAGACACTGCATATGCTAAAGAGGCTGAAGGACAGGAGTAACTTAGCCGATGAGGTCAGCTGCACGGGCTATTTTATTTCAATGCCCAGAGTACAAGATGTACATGGTATCAGGAGACACTCTCAAATAGGAAACTGCACTCTTGCTCAAAGAGCCTCCAGTGCAGGAGGAAACCCAAATCATCATACCCCAGCGCATAGCTCACCGTCCAGATCTTTCAGGCCAGGCAGGAGCAAATGTTTCAACCGCTGAACATTACCTGATTTTAAGTTTTGATTGAACTATGCGCTCTTTCACTGAGCTGTTTGGTGATCACCAAACTCTCATCCCTCGTTAGCCTGCAGTCTTCACTTTATGTTTTAAAGACCAGAGGGACAGGGAGAGAAAGTAACTGAAGATAAAGTTTCCCCTCCAAGTCCACAGCAAGCACACTTTGCACCAAACACCAGGGTTACAGAAAAACTCTTGCAATTGAAACTGCTTTTCCTCCCCCGCATACAAACAGTTCATGCAGCTCAACAGAAGCTTCCCTTATCCAAAAGGAGACAAAAAAGAGTGATTTCATCCATCCAAGACCAAATAAAGTTTAACCACACAAGCGCAGCAGAGGGATTTCTTGCGCTAAGCCATTACGTGCAATGCCAGGCGGTGGACACTGACAGGATATCGTACAATCACACCCCGAGAAGCCACCTTGCAGGGGCATGTTGAAGAGTTATGAGCTGGAGAGACTGAAGTTTCCCAGACAGAACAGGCAAAAGCACACCACTGCTAACCCCATCACACACCGTGCTCCCCCAAGCAACTTCTGCAGCTATCTGAGTCACAAACCTCTCTCCCTTCCCCAAACTAATCCAGCCATAGCCATCGGGAAGGCAGATGGCTGGGCTGGCAGATTGTTTTGCTCATGCTGAAGCAGATACAGCAGGAACCGTTTCAACAAGACAACCTGAACAAGTGACCCTACCTCCCATCGGCGCGGTTCTCTGTTGCTCCCAAGAAAGAAGTCAGCAGCGGCTGTCCTCCTGCCTTTGCAGCCAGGGAAGGGGAGGCAGATCTGCCAGATACAGCAGAGCTGGGATCCTGGCCTTTGCAGCTCAAGGCACACAAGAGGCTTCTGGGGAAGGAGGTGGGGAAGAGAAAGAGAAAAGAGGTCCTTACCTCCTCCACAGTACTTTCAAACCACTCCTCCTCTACTTGAGCCACTTCACTCCTTAAAACCCCACCAATTCACCGAGGGGGATGGCACAGGTCTCCTGCAGACCCTTCCCTATGCAAGAGGCCACTGCTCCTTCCGTCTCCTTCACCCTGCTGCCACCACCAAAGGGAGTTCTTACAGTTCCAACCTCCCTCTCTGGCAATGGGATTTTGGCATTTAAGGTCAAAGTGTCCACAAGGGACCTAAGATCAGCTCTATGGTACTGCGACCAAAGTTGACCTGATGGGCCACAGGGAAAAGAAACCGGATGGTAACCTCCTGTCACGAGCACATGCAGCCATTCTCAGGAGAACTCTTACTCAGCACTCTAACTTTTAACAGCACCTTCAATACCTTCTCCAATTAAACCACCGGTCACTCAAGTATATGGCCAATCCTCCTCCACATCTATAAAAATCTCTTGTCAGTTCTCAAGGCCACCTCTAGCTGAGAAGGTTAAACAGCAACTGTATAACAAAAAGAACTACTTCTCCGCAAGGCCCCTCAAAAAGCAAACTAAGAAGCCACACAAGAGAAGAACGTATCTTGTCCAACAGCTGTCCCAGTGTGAACCGGATGCCTCTCTGACCGGTAAGGGTGGCATCGTGGGAGAAACCAGAACAGATTCACCAACTCACTGCTGCTGGAAGGGGAGGTTCCCCTCTGCTTTCTCCCCAACTCTTTTCGCCCAGTGCTTCCCCAGCACTAATTACACAAGGACACTGGTGCGCCTCAGATCCTGTGCTGAGCTAATTCAAGTCGCTAAGTAAAAAAGTAACTGATTTTTCTGCTGGTTTAGCAAACTGAACCATTTTGGTGAAGGGTCCCCTAAAGGCCAGAGCCAGGACAAAAGAGCATGGCAGCGCATAATGTCATCCTGCACGGAACATCACGATTTTTCTCATCCTCACAATCAGGATGGAAGACACTTCTAGGATGTTACACGTCCTGGACAGCACAGCATGACTCAGCTAGATGTTGAACTAACTTCAAAAGTCTGGGCAGCAACCTGCTTTTACAGAGCAAAGTTAGGATATGGTTTTTTAAATCCACCTTGCAAACCCTTTCCCGGGAACCTGACAGATTACTGTACATAGCACCATTCATTTAAGTTGCTCTAAAGCAAACTGCTGCATGCTGGGTCACCCTAAATCTCCCCACCAGCTGCAATATGGGATGTCTCACTGTTACTTTCCAAGAGTATTCTGAAGATGCCTGAAGTGAAAAGATCGGCACACCTGCAGTATCCAGAGACAGAGCCAGGCTCTGTTTTGAAAAAAGACTAAGTGATTCTCCAGCTTGGAGAAATGACACTGTTCTTTTTGGTTCCCAGTTCTCCCACGCTACTGTTTTTCCATGCAACTGGGAATAATAAGGCCCAGCCCAGCACACCAGCCAAATGAACACAGACTAGCAAGTAAGGAAAAACTTTTAAGTCCCTGTGCAGATATACGGGCTATCCTTTAATTTCACTTCATCCAATAATGTTGACAAGGGGGAAGACTTTTGAAAGACATTCCTCAATATGCAAAAGCCTTAATTTAAACGCGGCTATGCCAGCTCATCCTGTTCCAAGATTCCCTGGCAAAAGTGACTGGTGTGTCTGCTGGTTTAAACAGCAACTCTCCTACAATCAAAACCATTCTGGTATTGTCATTCCATAAAAGACTTCTACTCTAGACAAGGCTTCAGTCTCCAGAACCTCATATCTGGGTTTTAGACTTATTTTAAATTATAGCTTTTAGTGAATTTAGGCCCAGTTGGTAGAACACCCTATAACTGGATTCAGTAGGCATGTCTTCAGGAACTTCTAAATCTACAGCATAGAAAGGAATGCAGAGGTCTTGCTTTTCAACCTCATACTTTCAGTGATTTTAAAACCAGTTTCAAGGAAATTAAAGTACTTTTATTTCACTGGAAAGCTTTCTAATGAGTTTCCAAGCTGAACTGGTAACTCTCCTGCCATTTGTACTCTAACAGAGGACTGCAAGCGAGAGCCCAGGTGAAGCGGTAGCAGAGCATAGACTGAAGCACAGAGTTGAAGCTCAAATTCCAATGCTGCTTCCTTCACAGTCATTTTACTACACCAGCTAAACATAATTCAATCATATCACAGCAAGACTATCCATTACATTAGGGTGGTATAAATCGCTAAGAAAAAGCACCACATTACAATGTACATAGCATTTGTGCAGGCATACGGTAAGCACTTGTGACGTTCGATATACACCTAGCTAACCCAGGCTCGCTCCAGGTAGCACACGTGCCAGTTCTTTCACCTCTTCTTTTTGCTTCTTTCCTTCACATTCCTTTGCTTCACTTGCTGTCGATAAGAATTCACGAAACATTTGGAGCTTCTCTGATCACTGAAGCTCAGAGCAATGCTTGGAAGGCCCAAAAACACCCCAACCCTAATTACAGTACCGAGGAAGCAAAGAAGAGCTAGACAGCGCGATGGATACACAGATGGATACCAGATTAGCTATCAAGATATTCATAGTTATCAAAGGACTATCAAAGAACTACAATATAAATGAGGAGACAGTCGTCAGACCACAAGCGGTCCAAATATAGCACTTACCGTTCTACAACAAACCAAACAACGCGTTGAAACTAACAGTTGGAACTTAGTCACTGCTTAAATGCATATAAGGGAGACTCAGAGTTTGGATTATGGGGTGTAACTTCCTGCCAGTGAGATCCAGCTGCGGCTTGCTCGATCTCCAGGAACACACCACACTTGTTACATCCCACACTGCTCCAAAAAGACACGGGGGGCAGGGGGCAAATCCAGAGCTGGAAAGGCTGAGTGGCTGGGCAAGGCTATGGGAGCATACTAGGAGGGGTTAGAAACAGATCCTGGGGCAGGCAGTGGGAGCAGCAAACCACCGTCAGGACCCGTTGGCTGGAGCTGGTCAGGGACCCTGCAATAAAAAAGAGAGCCGGCCATCCCCTGAAGGCTCAGCAGTAGAGGCAAGGGAAAGCTGCAGCCAGCAGCCAAAACCCTGTTTGAACACAGCCTCCGGAGGGGCATGTGCATGAAGAGGGCATCCTTCCAGGTAACACTACATAGCATGGCTCACCCATTTCATTCCCCGGGTCTGTATTTAGTTATTCATGCCACAAAGTCTCCCATTACAACTTTTTCCTTTGACTTCACTTTGTTACTGAAAATATTTTAAGATGGTTCAGCCATCTCTTAAACTGAGCCCAGTTCTGGCAGCTGCTGCACATGGGAAGCTGCAACCAACACCTTGCACTGCCTCCGAGGCAAAAAAAAAAAAAAATCAGCTGAACTTCACTTGATTAAAGGGGACGTGTTGAGCTTGTTCCCATCTCATCAGACAGCACTGCACACAGCTTCTTTTCTATCACTGATGAAAAAAGAGCAATCGCAAAACCAAAAAAAAAAAAAAACGCCACCAACCACAACAACCCCCACAAGTACAAAAAATAGATTTGCAGAACAAAGAAATTACCCCTGCTGGAGTGCAACTGGCCCTGGACCACCAGCTCAAAACGCCTACGAATGGGCAGGAGCGTTGAAGGAAGCATTTCACTCCATTGAATCTTTCTTGCTCCTGAAGTGGGTTTCCAGGCAGTAAGTGCAGCAAGGTTGTTTGCATAGGTAGGAAACAGCCCCATCTGCCAAAGCAAAGCGCCTTATGGCAGCGTCCCACATCTGCCAAGTTACACACAGAAACGAGCCCAGTGCACAGGGGTTTTTTTTTCTTCACTTGTTTGTTTTTGGTAGATCATAAACCCTGCGGCTAAGAAAAAGGTCAGTCTAGAGAGGCCCAGGATTGCTCAGCTTCAAGTTGATACAGAAACGTACAGCAAGTCTGGGGAGCGCAAGGTATTCACTGTCATCTTCATTTTGTCTCCTACCAGTCCTCTTTCCATATGTGGAAAGCAAAGTACAGTGAGAACTCAAGTCAGGCAGCTAGGCATGAGAAGAATACAAGAGCGATAAGAAAAATGCATCCTCTACATCGAATCAGCTTTTCATTTGTCTGTGGCAGGTGACAAAGACACCAATGAATTACTTTATTTTGAATTCTTTAGTTTAGAGCTGCAGCGCACAGCTCTCAGTGGAATTGCATACAAGACCCTAAGCCCGACAGAAAGAAAGCCTGGAAAACATCAGAATCTCTAGGGTTTCGGTTTTTCCAATTTGTTTGTTTTTTCAGGAGGAATTCTTGAAAGTGGAGAACGTCAAAGTCTGAGAAGGTACTACAGAGTACACTGTTTGCCTTGGAAAAGAACATTATATCCCCTCTTCCCCTGAAGCACAGTGCTGTGGAAGGCCAGATACAGGCTGGCTCCTGCCACGAGCCACGCACAGCCCTCTCATTTGGGACCAGGGAGCGCTCTCAGTCTCCCATGCTTCACCACAGAAAAAAAGAGCTGCATCTTCGGCATCCTCATTATAAGCTTCCCAAATCTCTTCTGGCCCTGTGTACTCAAAAAGTGGGTATGCACCCCACAAAGAAAAAAGCTTGGGGGGAATACCGGGGGGATTTCAGGATCTGCTTGACACCAGCTACATTGGAATTTGCTGGTCAATATTCAACTGAAAATGTAAAAACTCTGTTATTCCTTAAATCAGTAACTTCAGACCCTTGGAACAGTAATTAAGATGAGAGAACATATCCCAAATAGTGGTATTTTCCCATTCTCCCATATGGGAAAGACCAACTGCAGGAAAGAGATCAAGGGCAAAAAAAATTAACTCTTGACCCACAGTGCCTCGTTCCAGATGCAACAGCCAGATGGACCTCATGTCT